TAGAACTATAAGAGATAGTTCTCTGTTCTTTATGAATTAGTCAGTCTCAAGTAGTCTGTTATAGCAGCACAGAATGGACTAAGACACATCTCACACTAGAACATCAGTTCCATGAGAAAGGACCCTCACCCTACTCTACCGTGTTCAGCATGCCAGGTGTCGCCAGCACCTTTAAAAAAGTGCTCTTTTAAAAACTGCACGACCCTCTTTTCAGACATTTTCAAACTGTGCAGTGTGGGAGAAAGACGTATGGGAGGAGGAGGTGATGAGTGGAGGAGAGGGACTGAGTCAAAAGTAAATGTTTATGTATGATCTGGTGACAGAGCCTGACAGACCAGGTGTCATAAGACTCCAGTTATTCTCCAGTTGCTGTGACCAGTGGCAAGTCATACCACTCTGCCTTTCATAACATTTCAAAATACGTGTCATTCGGCTTTTCAAACCAGTTTACCAGCTTCATCAGTTCTTCCTCCTGCCGACCCGCATCACACATGACTCACCAAACAGCAGTGAATTCCAAGAGGGCAGTTCCAGGAGGGCAGCAGTGAATTCTAAGAGAACAGCGAGGTTATGAAACCCAGGGGAAAGCTGTAATGACTCCCATAAACTTAAAAGTGAATTTAAAATACAATAGACACTAATAGTCATTGACGTATAAGCAGCAAGAATTGAGTAATAGCCTAATCTGACTTGGCAGTATCAAAATCTAGGTGCTAAAAACATGGTTCTCAACCCTTTTATGTTAACAGTACAATTTCGAGTACCAGAATTTTGAGAAAACGGTTGAATAGATTAAGACTCAAGAAATCACTGAATATGTTAGTGATAAATGCAACACAACCACTGCCCGCCTACAATAATGCCTCGTCTTGCCCACAAAGATCTCACAGTCATGATTCACTGTAACTACCCATTCTCAGGCACTCAGACCCTGCTGGAAGAGAACAGTTTATGCCCCAGCAGTGCTCAAGGACATAATCCAAAAGTTAAGCCATCTCTATCCTGTACAGTTTTCTTTAGTGAGGGTTTGACTTGTGTTAAACCACCTTTCTTGGAGCAAATCGTATTTAATTTGCACCATGTTCCACAAACAACTCAGGTCCAGTTCTATTCAACAGACAGAATATTTCACTGCAGTAAAATAAATTGTATGCATTGATCAAAACCAGGTAGACTATGCCTGGCAGAGTGGAGTGCCATGGCTTACCAGTTGGGAAGCAAGGCTGAATTCTTTACTTCGTGTTTCAAACCGTCTTATTCGACTATCATCAAGCACACTGCTTTTGGGGTGGGTAAGAAATCTGATTAAAGTTCAATGTTTGTATAAAGGCAAGAAATATGGTTTTAAAAAGTAAAGCAGATTGTAGTAACATCATAAAGGGCATTAATTGATATTAAAATGTGTTAAATAGGCATCAAGAAGCTATTAATTTATTAATGAACTTGTTCATTCAACAGATATGTATCGAGTATCTTCTGTGTGCTAGCATCTTCTCTCTGAATTGTGTGCTAGAGAGAGAAAGCACTGTGTGAAGTCCCTTCTCTACAGAGCTTCCTTTCCAGTGGGGGAGATACCAAAAAAAATGTTAAAAATCAAAACAAGTAAATATATAGTCAGTCAGAACTGGTGATAAAGGGTGAAGGCCATGGGGGAAAATAAAGCAGCTTAGGGGAATTGAGAGTCTGGGGGAAGAGTGGCAGCTATTACACATGGTGTGGTCTGCAGTGACTCACTGCTAGGGCGACAGAAGGAAGTGAGAAAGTGTGGGCTGCAGATGCCTAGGGGAAGATTGTTCCAGGCAGAGCCAACAGGTGCCAAGGCCCTGAGGCAGTGTAGCTGAGGGAATGTTGGAGAAGGGCGTTGGGACATTGGGAAACATAGGCAAATCAAACAAGACCTTTGTAAAGACTTTGTCTTCTACTCCGGATGAAATAGGAAGCAGGCAAAAGGTTCTTAATAGAGGAGTGACATTCTAACCCATTTTTTAAAATGATAGCTCTGGGCCGACAAAGGTGCAAACAGGCAGAGAGGGAGAAAGATGATGGTGGTGTTTGAATGAGAGTGGTTATCTGTGAAACAGGTGAGAAGTAATTGAACCCTAGATAAAATCTGAAGGTAAAACTGAAATAACTGGGTAATGGATTAGATATGAGATGGGAAAGCAAGATAGAAAGCAAAGGTAACTCTGAGGCATTTAGCCTGAGAATTGGAAAACTGACATTCTCATGCATTGAGATAGAGAAGACTTCAAGAGAAGCAGATTTGAAATATAAATAAATAAATAAGAAGTATGATTTTGTAAAACATTAACATCCCATGCTATCCAAATTAGCAGTCACTAAACACATGTGGGCATTTAAATTTACATTGTAATTAAACTTAAATTAAAAATTCAATTAGTTGTGTTTACCACATTTCAAGTGTTCAATACCCAGCCATATGTGACTAATGGCTATCGTAGTGAACAGTGCAAATATTGTACAGCATTTCCATGTCAAAGAAAGTTCTACTGGGTATTGAACCAATGTCTGATGGTGGGACATTAAGCCTTTACTATATTCTGGGCTCTGTGCTAAGTGCTTTACTTACATTACCTAATTTAATATTTTAAACAACTCTTCAAATCAGGCAATATTGTATTCTTTTATGAAGAATGCAACTAGGGTTCAAAGAAGTTAAATATTTAAAAACTTGCCCTAAGCCGAATTTGGATTCTGGGACTGTCTGCCTCCTCACAGCCCAAGCACTTAAGCCATCACACCATATTTTAGAAAGGTTAAACTAGTTTGAAATGATACATGCATCCATAGAGGAATGTTTGTAGGTTATCAGCAACAAAGCATTAAAGGATAGGGAAAAAATGAGATTTGAAGGATCTGTAGTAAAAGTGAAACTGGCCAGAGATCCTGTGTGTTATAGAATTAAACATGAGGCATTCCAGCATACCATCAAGCTAAGAGAAAATAAAAATTATTAGAGAAGGCACTGGTTGTAGGTCTTTCGATAAAGGAGCAATCATTAAAAATTGCACAGAAGAAAGAAGAGCTTAACTGACACCAGGTAGCGTAAAGTTGAGATAGCCTTTTTCTACCCAGTGGTTCTCAACTAGGTACGGTACCATGCCTTTAGGAGACATCTGGAAATGTATAGGGTGTTCAGGGTAGATTGGTAGGTGCCATGAACATTTTGTGGCCATGATTTTAGGATGCTAAAAGTCCTATGATGCTTGCCACAGTTTAACACAAAGTTCTCTCACCCAAAATGTCATCAGCTCTCCCATGTAAGAAATGAGAGTCTACTGTCCCTCTGGTGATACTCCAGTCCAGTAACGAAGCAGTGTAGGGATCAGAACACAGTGGCTAACACAGCACAGGTCGTACTGTCAGACAAATCTATGCTCCAATCTGTTCTAACTTTCATTAGCTGTATGGCTTGGGACCACTGCCTAGACCACGGGCCTTAGTTTCCTCATCTATATTGTGCAGAAATACCAGAGTTAATACACATCATCTAGGCTGCTTCTGAGAATCACAAAATACTCCAAGTACTCGGCCCAGTGTTTAGTTGAGGGAGAATGTGGAATAAACATACACAATTATTAGAAGTGGAAAAGAGGAATGAAAGAGGAACTCTAGCCCAGAGACTAAAATGAGCAAGATGGAAATTCAGATAGAAAGGAAGTCTAGAACAGTATTGCTCAGAAAAAAATAGATGAAAAAACACAAGCACATGCAATTTTAAAATTTTCCCTATCCACATTTAAAAAGGTAACAAAATGGCAAGATTAATTTTATTAATAGGTAATAATTAGGTAACCAACTATATCCAAAAATGTTATGTCAATATGTAAATAATCAATATAAAAAATCTCTAATGAGGTATTTTACTTTTCATATCAAGATTTTGAAATCCCATGTGTACATCTCAATTCAGATTAGCCACACTTGTTCAAGGGGGTCCATAATCACATGTGACTGATGGCTACTTATTGAATAGCACAGGGCTAGAGTACTAGTGAGAGGCAAACTGTTTCACTGACTGCTAGCTTTAGTTAATTCTTAAGAGATTCTCAGTAGCTAACATCTCAGCACATGGAGGGTGGTTTCAAAAAATACATTTAAGGACTTTAGACTCAGGATCTCTGTAAGAGGCAGTGTTATAGCATAACTGAACATAGTGAGTGGACTTTATAACTTCACAATGAAGCTCTAGTACTTCTGTGTCCTTGAACAAGTTAGCTAGTCAAAAACCTGTTTTCCTATTTGCAGGATGGAGATAGTAGTACCAGCCCCTTAATGACTGCTCCAAGGATCATATACACAAACCTTTAGCCCAGGGCTGACAACCTACTTCTCCACATGTGAATTGCAGATATTTGCATTTGGGTCCAAGAAATAGAGCAGAGCTCCACTAGAATTCTAGTTATTCTTTACATACCTTATTGTGTATACTTGTGTAAATACATACCACAAGTATTTTAGAGCTGAATATCTAATACTTTTGTGAATTTTGTTAATGAGTACACAGTGTTCTTCTAGGCTGGGAGTGTTCCCTTTCACCAAGTGCAATGATGTGTCCATTGTGTTCAGATTTACCTCAATCTCTAGAACAGTTCCTGGGACATGGTTAGGTTTACTAAATGAGTTTTTAGCCGCAGAGACTTCCTGAGTAATAGTTAAATACACACCATTAAAATCATGATTTAGTCAATGATGCTAATTTAACCTTTGTTTAATATTTAACTGATAAAGTGTATGTAGCTACCTTTTAATGAGAACAGACTCTGCCAAAAATTTTTCTTGAGTTGATACTAAGTTCAAATGGTGTAGGGTAAGCTTAAATGATTGGTACTGTATTTGCCACAAAAGTAGCTCTACATATAAATGGCTGGAATATAATCTCAATATAGCACCCTCAAACTACCTCAGAATTTACTCAATTTATAATTATTAAAACTCATTATTAATTTCCTATAAATTTAAAGAATGCATACAACATGTATTAGCACAAACACATTTATTTATTAACCAAAGGGATTCACCTAATTAAACCAACACTTTAGAATAGTTGCATGTAAAATATTTGTGATAAAGATAATTGAATACAGTAATGAAAAAAAAAAAAAGCAGTGTGGAGATTTGCTCATTGAACTGAGCTTGTTTCGTTCTCATAACTAATTCCTGCCCAGAGTGATGATGGAATTTTTATTCTACTTTTTCATAGACCCGAGTACAGGTGACATCGTTCATGATACATTCCTAGGAGAAAGAATGATATTAAAGAGTGAGGTTAGTCTTACATTCTAATGTAATAGCGGTAAAAAAAAAAAAAACACAAAAAAGCATTAGGATAAGGATCCCACGAAACCTTATAATCTACTTCATAAATGGAGACATTTGGATTCCTGGGTTTGAGAGAAGCTGGAACCTGTTGTTTTGCTTATAATATGCATATGCTTTACTGAAAACTAAAGTGTCGAGCATATCCAAATTATTCATTTGGTCGTCACAAATACTATTCCTCAGTTTAAAAAAAGGGGAAAAATGTATGCTAAGAGGGCAGTTGCATGGCTTGCCGAGACTGCACTGTGAAGTGACAGAGCAAAGAAAAAACTATATCTTCCAGCTACATCCTCATGCCACTTCTCTATCCCCACATAATCAGTGTTCTAGTATTTAATTTATTTTGTATTTTTTTCTCCCCAAACTTAGTTCTCCTGATAACAATCAGTTATGTGAACTATGAATGAAAGAAGCAGCCCAGTAAGACATAAGCAGTTTGACACTTACCACCACTAATTTCCCATCTTTCAATTTTCTTGTTATTGTGCTTTCCTTCCCATCCCATTCCTGATGTTGAACCAATGCGCCATCTGTAAAGTTGCAGACAGTCTGGAAAATAAAGTTCACTTTTTAATCTTCCAAAATATATTATAAGAGTGTTTCCATAACTCATAACCTCCTTAATCAACATTTTTTTTCATCTTCTCCTTTCTGGTTCTACTTTATTAAAACCCATACTGATTTTATTGACAATATAGTTTGTGCTTTTCAATCTAGAAGCTGATAATAAGTACTCATTCTACAAAGTTGGTACTTTTACTAATTTGTCAAAACTCAATGTATACATTAACTTTTCCATTAAGTTCTGGCCTATAAACAGAAAAATGTTATTAATACAGCCTGTCGTGCTAGAAGCTTCTGGGACTCTATAACATATGATGACAAACCTGAGTTTTTCTGCCATCAGCTGTAGTTTCTTCAAACTTCTCTCCCAAGGTACAAGAAAATTGAGTTGTTTTCAAAGTGCTCTCAGTTTTTACGGTGAGGTTTTTGCCGTCACAAGAAATGATACAATCTGGCTTGGCCATTCCACCCATTTTTCGCAGAGCTAGTCCCACTCCTGTAGAATGTTGAATTGGAGGAAGACCAAAGTTATCATTTAGATAATAAAAGTAATAATTCAATTGTAATCGCTACATTTGGCATATTTTCACTTGTTTGCCTATTGGTAACTATCATAAACACATATTCAGTGCTCACCATGCACCGGCACTTTACATATGTGAATTTATATAAGCCTTACAACCACCCTGTGAGAGGCAGATATTATTGTCTCCATTTTACAGATGAGAAAGTGAGGCACTGAAGTAACTTGCCCAAGCTCACTCAGCTGAGAAGTGATGGAGCTGGAAACCAATAGAGTGGGCTATGCAGGTTCAAATCTCTCAGGTTCTTCTCAGGTTCTCTCAGCTCTTGGCCACCATGTTTCCCTGGCCTTCAGAATGCGAGAGAAATGCAAACTTCTAAAACTTATTTACCCAAAGCAGCTGGTAGAAGGTGGAGACAATGCATTCAAAACTGCAAACTCTGGAGCTTGCTCAGTCTTTCCCTTCTACTGGATTCTGTCATATTAGTCTATGATTCCAGCACATAGTCTGGTATTTAAAAGACCTCTGATAAATAGTTGATTAATAAGCTACACGAAACAGAAATCAGTCCTGAAATATTCAAATAGCACAATGTTTTAAGAGTTAGTAGCACCATTGTAATGCTAATAAATGGAAAAACAATCTTACTCCTAAAAAGAGAGAACATTTCACAGATGTATAACTCAATTACTATATTGATTTATATAGCTGTGAAATTTCATATTACTCAATTATATATAAATTTAAGATCTGTGCATTTCCTCTTAGAGTTAACATTTATAAGGAACCTTTGATCCAGGCCGACTCAGTTTCACAACCTAAGCAGCAGCATGACTGCCTTGCTGAGGAACACTCAGCCAGGCTTTAAATTTCCCCTTGGAGCCTTCTCTTTTGCCAGCTCAGGGCTGGTGCCTTGTGTTGTTAGTGGGGTCATTATTTATTCTCACTTTCGACAAATAAATGGGCTCTGCTGTCTCACACCTTGATTGCTCCCTAATGAATTGAGTCTTGACAACCTTATGACCCCAGAATGCTGGAAACAAGCCCTCCAACCCTAAACACAATTTCCAATAGGTAAAGTGCTCTCTATTTGGTCCGCGCACCTGTGCACATACACTGTATTTCCTGGATGAATGCAGTAAATGACTTTTTCCAAGTCATCTTGATCTAGGTTTACAGAGGAAAACCCTGCCTTCTTGTTTTACCAACAGTATCATAAATATACTCGTGATTCACCACAAACCAGCCTTACACCACATAGTCTTTGAAACATGCTAGTGGAGTGATTCTGACGTGCAGCAATGACTAAGTGTCAACAGAGGGTCACTGTAGTCACTTCACCAGAACGCAGGAGGGTTAATATTTTGGATACCGGCTTCTGAAGCACCCTCATAGTCCCAGCAATCCCTTAAGGCTTCTGGAAGTTCCCTTCCAGAGAGGATCCATGCTATGCTAACTCCACCCCACTTCCTAGCAGCCTGTGACAAAGGTCCACTTTGTTTGCTATATATTCATTGTCTCAACCAGCATGCAATCGCTGTCACTGGCTTACAAAAGGGCAGTAACAGAAATGACGCCTTACTTTCAGCGAGAAAGAACCTGAATTTTGTTACAAAGATTCATTCTCCTTTGGAAGGCTTTAAGAAGTCAAGCACCTTCAGCAGGGCCACACCTATGCATGCAGTCAGCGGCCTCTGGAGGGCCTCGTTGTTTCCGTTATGGTTTTCAAAGAAAGCCCACTGCCTCCTTACCTCTCACCCTCAAGATGTAGAGGCCAGGATGGCAATGCTCAGCCACAGCCGGGCACAGTCACCCTCATGGCGCACCTCCCACAAGCCACCCACCCACGGCGGCGTCCCAGCCAGGCAGTGCCAGCAGCGGGTCAGCGATGCCAGCGCCACGCCTCTCTGCGCCGCGCGGGGTTCGGGGCACAGGGGACGAGGAAGCCCCGGTGCTCCTTAGTGCGCCATCCCAAAGGGCCGGGTCAAGGGTGAGGGCGCGCAGAGGACCTGGGGGAGGTGGGGGCGACAGCCGAATGGAAGCTGAAGCTGCAGCCGGGTTCTGACGCTCAGGGATTCTGCTGGAAACCGCGCGCCAGCGCCGCGTTCCCGCGCAGAAGAGGGAGGAGAACCCGCGCGCCACCAAGGAACAAAAGATGCATCAGGCTGGGAAAGGGGAATGGGAGAGAGAGGACGGTGGCAGGACGGGGAAGGATGAGTGCAAGGGAAGGAAAAAAAAGGAACGTTAAGGGGGCTGCCCGGAGGGGTCGAGAGAAGTGCAAGTTGGCCGCCACTCGGCGGAGAGGAAAGACGCAGAAGAGACGTAGGGGGAACACGAGGCGGCACATCTGCGGAACCTCGTCGCCTGCTCGCGTGGAGCCGCGCCGCGCTGCACCCAGGGGCCACGTGGTGGCGGGGAGATGGGAGGGACCGGGTTAGGCAGCCGACCTTCCCCCGCCCCGGTATCTGGCTCGCTGATGGGCACCTAGGGACAGCCGGCCGCACGCACGCCACGTGGCCGGCGCTGCCGGGCCAGGCCCCTCACCTAGTTCCTTCATGTATTCATCAAAGCCTTTGCTGTCCACCAGGCGCCATCTTCCTTCCAGCTGCTGAACGGTGGCCATGGTGGGCGCGGGCGGCCGGGCGTGCGGAGCGAGCGGAGACGGGGCCGGCGCGGGAGCGAGCAGTGCGGCTCCGGCGCCCGCGGCGGCTTTATGCAGGCGGCCCGCACCGCGCGGCGCCCGGCGGCCAATGGGAGGCGCGCCTCGCCCGGCCCCCGCCCCGCCCCCCGCGCGCCCTCCGGCCTGGCTCCCGGGGTCCGGGGGTGCGAACCGGCTCCGCCTGCCCCGGGACGCGAGGGCTCCTGGGGTGCCTCCTGCAAGCCGGGACTCGCCCGGCGCGCCCCACGCCTCCCGGGACGCCGGCCCCGGCATGTCGCGGCGTCTCCGCACGCCCGGGACGCCGCGGAGTGGTGGGTGGCGAGGCACCGGGCGCCCGGCCCCGCCTCGCCCGCTCCCCTCCGCTCCAGCGCTCGGCCGCCGGCGCCGTTCCTTTCTAAACACCTGGACCCGTCGATTAGCCGCGCAGGGCTCCGCCGCAGGAACTGATTGATCTGCCGTTTGGTTGGTTGATTGATTGATTGAGTGATAAACTGCTTTGCCTCCCAGACCCTGTGCAGTTTGTCCGGGGGACAAACCCACATCCCACACCCTCAGGCCACGCCTGGCCCACTGAGGGCCTCAGGGTGGCTGTCCACCTGAGCTGAGCTAAGATTTTATCGGAAGGTGCTAAATGGGTGGGATGGGGGATGTCTCAGGAAGCGCCGTTTCTAAGCTAAAATTCTGTATGAAGCTTCAGCTTAAGTGACTGCCGTTGCCATTCTAGAATGTTTTATTAGGTTACGTTCCCTGAGGAGGGAGCCCTTCACAGTTTCTTCTCAGCTACTGAGTAGTGTAGACTCCAGCGTCTTTCGTCTTCACCTTTAATCATAACAACACTTGATACTCGGGTGCAGAACATCATGTTAATACTTTGCAAAGTGTACTTTTCACAGTTTCTTCTTGTGCTCTGGGATCCGTGCCAGAGGTGAGATGGCGTGAGGTGAGGAAGTTGCTACACAGGCCTGCCTTTTTGATAGAGGCAATGTCCATTTATGGAGTACCTACTATGTGCTAGATGCTGTGCTTCGGGGGCACTTGATAGCCATTATCTCTAGTCTCCACTAAATGTTTGCTAAGGAGTGTCATCCCAATTTTTCAAGAGAGGAGATAAGGCAAGGAAAGTCTGCGCAGTGGTAGAACCAGAATCCCCCTCCAGGCCCTTCTCCCTGAAGACCTTGTGAAAGAGGACCACGCCTCGCTGCACTCTCGCTGTGGCTCTGACGGAGCTCTGAATAGAGGCCACAGTCACCCTGCCAAGTTTTTGTATCATCCTTTAACAGAATTAAAGTCTGAGGTTGGTTTGTGTCTCTCAGCGTGTGGCAGGGCGTTTACTCCCGTCCACTGCACCTTTTTCACCTTTTTCATTTCAAGTCCCTCCCCTAATTTTAGGGTCAGCACAGTTTTTCTTGTGGTACCTCTTTAAAACGTAGTGGTTGTCGCACAGAGGGCCTGCATGTCCCGCACCTGACGCTCTACTGCTCAGAAAACATTCACGTTCTGAGGGAAGCTGCATCCTTTGTCAGTGATGGCTTCCAGACACTCAGGGCTGCTCCTGTGTGTTTAGATTTGAGCTCTCCATATGCCGTTTCAACATGTTTTAGCCATTTTTATATAGACTACGGTGATAATAGTCAGGGCTCAGTACCAGGATACTAATTTTTAGATTATCATAATCAAGCATGTTACAGAAAGAGCAAAAAGAAAATGGCACTGGAGTACTAGATGCTTAGGTACTTACGAAACAGCTTTTAACCCCAAGGTATTACCTAAAACTTAACTTTTAAACACAATCTTTGATGCAATGAGTGGAAATAATCCACAGGTGGTTAAAACACACCAACAAACAATACAAAGATAAAAGGCAAAAATACCCGTTAGTGTCTCCTGTGGAACAAAGAAGGGCATTGTGATTGCTCGGTTACTAGGGCAATACATTCAACACCTTGTTCTCAGATGCCTCATCTGATATATATATATATACATATATACATGATTGGAGTAGATTATTTCTGATGTCTCTTAAACTCTAAAATTCAGATTCTCTTCCTTTCTTAATGGTCATGGGCCTGAGTGCAGTGGCTCATGCCTATAATCCCAGCAGTCTGGGAGGTCAAGGTGGGAAGATCACTTGAGGCCAGGAGTTTGAGACCAGCCTGGGCACCACAGTGAGACCTCATCTCTATTTAAAAAAATAAAGGCACGGAGATAGATTTCAAGCTCTGAAAAGCATTAAGTGCTCCCTTAACCTGCTAATTAAAAGTGCTGTTCTAGGTTACTTAACTTGAATCCATTATGAGGTGTAAAAACCAAAAATGTAAAAACAAATCTCATTTGAAGTCTCACATAACATTATGGGGATTGTTGAGTATCTCTTCCTTGGAAAAAAAGAGGATTATCCCTTGAGCGTGATTAATTACAATATAGAAAACAAGAAACAATAGTCTTATCCTAGCCTGTCCTTACAGACATTAGTAGCTGTGTTAGTCATTATTTTTTAGTAAGAGCACATAGATGATAGAGGTGTCACATCATGTCTTCTTCATGCTGAAAGATAACACATTATTCTTATGGGTAAAAATGACCGAAGAATCAAGAATTACTAACAACTCTTCCTCCAGAAGCTCTAGAAGACTAACTTTCGTAAGACAGATATAATTTTACTTAATTTCTCCGAACCTGAGTTTTATTACCTATGAAATTAAGGAGATGAGAATTAGACTAAATGGTTTCTTAGGTTCCTTTCAGCTTATGAAGTACTACTGCAGTAGCTCATGGCCTTGAAAAAATACACTCGAAATTACTCTATTTCCACCTAGTGGTGAAAACGTAATATCGCTTTTAGGTTTTATTTGATAACTATCAGCTTGTCAGTTTCACATTCAGCAATCACACACATAGCTTTGGAGTGCGTTGTGTAATTTTATTTAAAGACAACTTCCCAGTTCCATTTATGTAGATAGATGTGTCTTCACAAAATTGCTTATAGTATCTAATCATTACTAAAGACGGTAAGTGCTGGTGGCCTAGAAACATGCAGTTGGTAGAAAAATGGAGAAGAGAGCACCACATTAAATAAACTATTGTAGAGAATACCCAAAGTAAGCCATGTTCAGACAACTGAGTCTTCTCCAAGTACATGTGCAGATTATTAATAATCAAAAAAGGAAAGAAAAGCAAAATGATCACTGATAAAGTGGTACTTCTCAAATTATAGTGTGTAAACAAATCACTTGAGGATCTTGTTAAAATGCAGATTCTGATTCTGTAGGGTCCAGGAGCAGACATTTCTAACAAACTCTCAGGTGATGTCAGTGCCACTGCACTGGGAATCTGGGAATCATGATTTGAGTAGCAAGGCTGTAAAATACGCAGGAATCCCTACCTGGCTTTGCCACAAAGGGGTATCTCTCACTTCAATGCATAAGCATTCTCTAATTCTATCCCTATGAAAATATAGAGATAAAACAGGAAATTGAATAAAATCACCCCCAAAGATTATCTTATTCACCTTTTGGATTTGTTGCTGTTGTTATTGTTAGCCTAAGACTGCTATTTTTCTGTCTGCTTGCCAAGATGCACAATAGGAAGCTTCAATTGGTATATGGAGCTGGGGAGGCTGAAGAATGTGTTTATTTAAATCTAGTGTCTCCCTTAAATTCTATAATCAGTTTTTTGACCCACATTCCTTCTGGCTTGCCTTGCTGTAGACATACTTTGCATAGTTAGCTTCTAACCAGATCTTCCCTAAGAAAATCCCATTTGGAATCAGTTTCAAAAGAAAACACTAAGTAGGTAGATGGTAGATCTGCATTTTGTCAGCTGTCTACGGCAGCAAAAAATTTCCAGATGAGAATAACACAGCTCAAGGCACACCCTGAATATTACATCTTAAATCATTTAATGCATCCAGCCACAATAAGGAATTGCAAATAGCTACCATCCATCAATGGAAGGTGACTTTGTTTCATTTTTCATAATAAAATTGTGTATTTTTTTTAAAAAGTGTTTCAAATTAAAGCACTTAGAGTTATTTTTATGAACTTTGTCCTTTTACTTAAAGCAGTTTGATTCTTACAAATTGTGACTGCCATGGCTAACCATTCAAACTTTCCAGGAGCTTAAATGATCCATCATAAACATGTGCTTGCTAAATTAACTGGACTAGAGGATAGCTAGAAGGAAAATGAGGCATTGCAAAAGTTACAGTAATGCTTTTGAGTGGTTTCAAAATAAGGCCGAGGACATAACGGCTCATATAATAAAACGGCTCATACAATAAAAGCTCTCAGTGTAAGTTTGCTACATTTCCCTTACTTACCTAGATCTTCTTACTGTCCAGATGTGTGTATTATTGTAATTTACATTTGTCATTAGCTCGTGGCAACAGATGCAAAAATATGTAGTTTGGGCTAACTTTTCATGCTTCATATGGGCAGTGTTCAAAGTTAGCACAATGCCAAAGGAGGTACCTTGAAATGGAACAAGAGGATGTTCAGAAAACTACCCCAATAATCACAAAATCTTGGTGAAAACACTGTGCTTCCCAGGTGACACAACTTCAAAACAAATCCCATGGAAGCCCCAACCTCCTCAAACCTACCTGAAATCAAATTGTCACTCCTACACCTCTTTATATACAAAGTCTAAGGATGGCCCAACCTGAACACACAGATACATTCATAATGGGCATCTTTGCCCTTTAAAACTTGCAAAAATGGAAAACTTCCAAATAATATTTTCCCACTGGAAGAAGCTGAATTTTTTTCTTGCAGAATATACTCTCCCATATTTCAGTCCTACCTCCCATGTGATATTCTATAATTTACTGGTTATTCTGATATTCTCACATCATTTGATGATTTCCCTTTTCTAATATTTATCTAAAAATTAGTGATTTTTCAAATCAAGTCTATAAAACCATGGGGTTGCTTGCTTCTGAGTTACTTATCCCAATGGCTCAGGCCCATTACTTCCTTTTTCCTGGATTTGTTTTAAAGAAGAATCATCAACATTTAATAAGCTACCTAAATCTGACTGAAGATGCTTTCTTGATCCTGTCTCTGGCTCTCCTAACTTGGCCTTGGGAAGAGCTATCCATTAAGCCCTCAGAGGCATGTGCAGAGCTATAAAACCAGCATGGGGGAAATTTTATGCATTTCTCTGAAGGACTCAAGCAGCAGGATAGATATCTTTTGT